GCTCAGACGGCCGGTGCCTGGGGTTGGGCTCATACGACGAGCTCCAGTCCCAGGGAATCGACTTCATGGCTATACTGAAAGATGTGGAACGGGAGGCCGAACACGACAAACAGGAACGGGAGCTCATGAGGCCGTTCTCCACGAATAGTTACGATGCGAAACAGACCCCAACCCCTAATGAGACACTCCTGACGGAGTCGATCAACGACGGGGTCCGGAGGCACTCCCGGAGCACATCTGTGGCTCAGACCGAGAACTTCGAAGTCTCCGACATTACGGCCGATGACGAGGACTACTCGCATGAGCCCAGGATTCAGGAGGAGAACCGGGAGGTGGGCTCTATCGGGGGGCACGTCTACTATCAATACTTTAAAGCCGGCGCCGGACCCATACTGTTCACGATTATCCTGTTGTCGACATTGATATCTCACGGTATATTACATTACTCCGATATATGGTTAACTAAATGGTAAGGGAGTTTAAGCTTGTAAATTTGTATTATTTTATATTAGATCAATATTAAATAAATGCTTTATTGTATATCCTTCATGATAAATATACTGTTCTAGGTCAATGTGATTTATATTTTATATAAAAAATTCGATATTCTCATTATACTATACTGTACTATAATATATTGTATTTATGCAATAATTAATAATATTTAGAAAACGTTACAATTTGTAGATTGCATACAAGGGTGTTCAAAAAATAGTACAGGGTGTTCAAATGCAAAGCCTCCTAAATGGGTTCCATGTTTAGTAACAACGATGTAATATAAATAACAATGTTTACCAAATTATAAATTATAGTTGATCCAGGGAAGTTTATTTAAGTTAATTTAGTTTTTAAACACTATTGATCTAATATTACAAATATACTGAATCTATAAAATTATAAATGTAAATTATTGTTTATATTCAGGACTGACAAAAATCAAATAGCTAGTGTAATTGACCATGATACACGAAATTATTACGTCTACATCTATTCGGGACTCATTGGGGCCCTGTTTGTGACGGCGCTAATGCGGTCGACCACGTGGTTCATGATGTGTATGCGGGCGTCCGTTAATCTACACAACAGTATATTCTCG